CAGATAGGGAGCGTGGTGGTTTAGAGAGTGTGGTGGCGATAGAGAGATACAAGAGAGAAAAATAGAGAGAGAGTGTTCGTGTTATAGTCGAGCTAAAGAGAGATAGACAAAGAGAGTGGTCGTGTTATAGTGGAGTGAGAGATAGACACACACAAGAGGGAGATAGACAACGAGAGTGAGAGTGTTCGTGTTATAGTAGAGTGAGAGAGACAAAGAGAGAGATAGAGAGAGTGTTCGTGTTATAGTGGAGTGAGAGAGAGATAGACACAGAGAGTGAGAGTGTTCGTGTTATAGTAGAGAGAGAGACACACACAAGAGAGATAGACAAAGAGAGTGTTCGTGTTATAGTGGAGTGAGAGATAGACACACACAAGAGAGAGATAGACAAAGAGAGTGTTCGTGTTATAGTGGAGTGAGAGATAGACACACAAGAGAGAGATAGAGAGAGTGTTCGTGTTATAGTGGAGTGAGAGAGACACAGAGAGAGAGATCGAGTGTTCGTGTTATAGTCGAGTGAGAGATAGACACACACACACGAGAGAGAGAGAGAGAGTGTTCGTGTTATAGTGGAGTGAGAGAGACAAAGAGAGAGAGATAGAGAGAGTGTTCGTGTTATAGTGGAGTGAGAGAAACAAAGAGAAAGATAGAGAGAGTGTTCGTGTTATAGTGGAGCCAGAGAGATAGACACACACAAGAGAGAGATAGACAACGAGAGTGTTCGTGTTATAGTGGAGTGAGAGAGAGATAGACAAAGAGAGTGAGAGTGTTATAGTGGAGCCAGAGATAGACACACACAAGAGAGAGATAGACAAAGAGAGTGAGAGTGTTATAGTGGGGTGAGAGAGAGATAGACAAAGATAGAGAGAGTGTTCGTGTTATAGTGGAGTGAGAGAGACAAAGAGAGAGATAGACAAAGAGAGTGTTCGTGTTATAGTGGAGCCAGAGAGAGATGCCGAGACTCGCCTGATTGTCCTTGAGACAGCTCGTGTGGATATACAGGAGACAAAGACTCACGCGTGCACATAGACGACACGGGACTCCACGCACTCAGACAGACACGGACAGACACACGTGCATAGATAGACAGACGCATAGATATATAAACAGAGGCATATATAAACAGTGTTTACGTAGAAAATACGTAGACAGAAAACACACGCATACAACTGTTATACATTCACACACGGAGACACAGACACAGAGCCACACATATTCACACACAGTGAGACACATTCACACACAAATACACACAAACAGACTTATAGACACACAAAAACAAACACACAGAGACACAAAGACAGACAGTTACAGACACACATGCATAGAGTCATAGAAATATAAAGACAGTTGATCGACACACAGAGACAGACTCACGTTCACTCACACACAGACTCACACATAGACTCCCACACAGACTCACACAAATTAACACACTCACACAACCTCACGAACGCACACTCACAGATATTGACGCTTACTAACACACTCACAAAGAGACTCATAGACACGCACACTCGCACACAGAAACTCATTTTCTTTTAGCCACACACACAAAGATCCCCCGTATAGCCTTAACAGACTTTTGAGCAAGTGTGCACACACTCACACACAGACACTCACACACTAATAAACACTCACACAAGACACTCACAGACACACATAAGAGACTCACAGACAATCGCACAAAAACACTCGCAGACACTCATAGACACTTATTCCCACGCACACTGAGAGACATTCACACTAATAAACACTCAATAATAGACACCCACTCACACCGGACACTCACAGACACTACTCATACTCACACACACAATCACTCACACTAACTCTCATTCACTCACACTCATTCACAGACACTCACTCACTAACACTCACTCACAGACACTCACACTCACTCATTCACAGACACTCACTCACAGACACCCAACTCATTCACAGACACTCACAGACACTCACTCACACTCACTCACAGATACTCACACTCACTCATTCACAGACACTCACAGACACCCAACTCATTCACAGACACTCACAGACACTCACTCACACTCACTCACAGACACTCACACTCACTCATTCACAGACACTCACAGACACCCAACTCATTCACAGACACTCACAGACACCCAACTCATTCACAGACACTCACAGACACTCACTCACACTCACTCACAGACACCCAACTCATTCACAGACACTCACAGACGCTCACTCACACTCACTCACAGATACTCACACTCACTCATTCACAGACACTCACAGACACCCAACTCATTCACAGACACTCACTCACTCACAGACACCCAACTCATTCACAGACACTCACTCACAGACACCCAACTCATTCACAGACACTCACAGACACTCACTCACACTCACTCACAGATACTCACACTCACTCATTCACAGACACTCACTCACTGACAGACACCCAACTCATTCACAGACACTCACAGACACTCACTCACACTCACTCACAGATACTCACACTCACTCATTCACAGACACTCACAGACACCCAACTCATTCACAGACACTCACAGACGCTCACTCACACTCACTCACAGATACTCACACTCACTCATTCACAGACACTCACTCACAGACACCCAACTCATTCACAGACACTCACAGACACTCACTCACACTCACTCACAGATACTCACACTCACTCATTCACAGACACTCACAGACACCCAACTCATTCACAGACACTCACAGACACTCACTCACACTCACTCACAGATACTCACACTCACTCATTCACAGACACTCACAGACACCCAACTCATTCACAGACACTCACAGACGCTCACTCACACTCACTCACAGGTACTCACACTCACTCATTCACAGACACTCACAGACACCCAACTCATTCACAGACACTCACAGACGCTCACTCACACTCACTCACAGATACTCACACTCACTCATTCACAGACACTCACAGACACCCAACTCATTCACAGACACTCACAGACGCTCACTCACACTCACTCACAGATACTCACACTCACTCATTCACAGACACTCACAGACACCCAACTCATTCACAGACACTCACAGACACTCACTCACACTCACTCACAGATACTCACACTCACTCATTCACAGACACTCACAGACACCCAACTCATTCACAGACACTCACAGACGCTCACTCACACTCACTCACAGATACTCACACTCACTCATTCACAGACACTCACAGACACCCAACTCATTCACAGACACTCACTCACAGACACCCAACTCATTCACAGACACTCACAGACGCTCACTCACACTCACTCACAGATACTCACACTCACTCATTCTCAGACACTCACAGACACCCAACTCATTCACAGACACTCACAGACACTCACACACACTCACTCACAGATACTCACACTCACTCATTCACAGACACTCACAGACACCCAACTCATTCACAGACACTCACAGACACTCACTCACACTCACTCACAGATACTCACACTCACTCATTCACAGACACTCACAGACACCCAACTCATTCACAGACACTCACTCACAGACACCCAACTCATTCACAGACACTCACAGACACTCACTCACACTCACTCACAGATACTCACACTCACTCATTCACAGACACTCACAGACACCCAACTCATTCACAGACACTCACAGACGCTCACTCACACTCACTCACAGATACTCACACTCACTCATTCACAGACACTCACAGACACCCAACTCATTCACAGACACTCACAGACACTCACTCACACTCACTCACAGATACTCACACTCACTAACACTCACTCACAGACACTCACACTCACTCACTCACAGACACCCAACTCATTCACAGACACTCACAGACGCTCACTCACACTCACTCACAGATACTCACACTCACTCATTCACAGACACTCACAGACACCCAACTCATTCACAGACACTCACAGACGCTCACTCACACTCACTCACAGATACTCACACTCACTCATTCACAGACACTCATAGACACCCAACTCATTCACAGACACTCACAGACACTCACTCACACTCACTCACAGATACTCACACTCACTCATTCACAGACACTCACAGACACCCAACTCATTCACAGACACTCACAGACGCTCACTCACACTCACTCACAGATACTCACACTCACTCATTCACAGACACTCACAGACACCCAACTCATTCACAGACACTCACTCACAGACACCCAACTCATTCACAGACACTCACAGACGCTCACTCACACTCACTCACAGATACTCACACTCACTCATTCTCAGACACTCACAGACACCCAACTCATTCACAGACACTCACAGACACTCACACACACTCACTCACAGATACTCACACTCACTCATTCACAGACACTCACAGACACCCAACTCATTCACAGACACTCACAGACACTCACTCACACTCACTCACAGATACTCACACTCACTCATTCACAGACACTCACAGACACCCAACTCATTCACAGACACTCACTCACAGACACCCAACTCATTCACAGACACTCACAGACACTCACTCACACTCACTCACAGATACTCACACTCACTCATTCACAGACACTCACAGACACCCAACTCATTCACAGACACTCACAGACGCTCACTCACACTCACTCACAGATACTCACACTCACTCATTCACAGACACTCACAGACACCCAACTCATTCACAGACACTCACAGACACTCACTCACACTCACTCACAGATACTCACACTCACTAACACTCACTCACAGACACTCACACTCACTCACTCACAGACACCCAACTCATTCACAGACACTCACAGACGCTCACTCACACTCACTCACAGATACTCACACTCACTCATTCACAGACACTCACAGACACTCACTCACACTCACTCACAGATACTCACACTCACTCATTCACAGACACTCACAGACGCTCACTCACACTCACAGATACTCACTCACACTCACTCACAGATACTCACACTCACTAACACTCACTCACAGACACTCACTCACACTCACTCACAGATACTCACACTCACTCACAGATACTCACACTCACTCACAGATACTCACACTCGCCTCCCCGGGTATCGCGATATTCGTGCTCTTCTTAACCCCGAGTGCTTCGCTTGGAGAGGTGAGGGTCTGTGGGGGGCGGGGGGTCGCGATGCCCGGTGCCTGCAACAACAACAACAATAACAGCAACAACAGCAACAGCTGCGTCAACAGCCCGGTGAACGGCGCCTCCGCTGGGGGGCTGCTGGGGGCCCCCTCCCCACGGGAGGCGGCGAGCGATGGGCACGCCGTGAAGCTCTTCGTGGGACAGATCCCCAGGCACCTGGGCGAGGCGGAGCTGGGGCCGATCTTCAGCGAGTTCGGAGCCATCCGCGAGCTCAGCGTGCTCAAGGACAGATACACGGGGCTGCACAAGGGTGAGTGAGGGTGGTTGAGTGTGGGTGAGTGTGGGTGGGTGAGTGAAAGTAGGTGTGGGTGGGTCAGCGGGTGTGTGGGTCGGTGTGGGTGGGTCAGTGAGTGTGGGTGAGTGAGAGTGGGTGTGGATGCGTGTGGGTGAGTGAGAGTGGGTGTGGATGCGTGTGGGTGAGTGTGAACTCACCGTACTCAAGGACATACACACGGGGCTGCACAAGGGTGAGTGTTTTGGTGGGTGAGTGTTTTGGTGGGTGAGTGTTTTGGTGGGTGAGTGTTTTGGTGGGTGAGTGTGGGTGGAGAGCGGTAGTGTAGCGGTTAGCGCGCTGCGCTACGAACCCAGCGACCCGAGTTCCATTCTTGCTCACGGCCAACACCAGTGACGATTATCTGAACCGGTCATGAGCCTCCCTAGATCGACTCAGCCTCAAGTGAGTACCTGGTTCCGTGTGTAAACATCGCTACTCGGGTCGGGCGCTGTGCTGGCCACCCACCCCCTGTCGGCTTTCATAGGTGCTGCTACTCGCTAACAACACTTGTTCCAACATACCGTTGGAGGCCATACGGTGGATCTTTGTCTTTGGGTTTTATTTATGCGGCTTGTAAACATCCATCGTCGTGGAGGCAGTAGCGGAGGGGGGGGGGGGTGGTGAATCACAAAGGCGGTGCTGTTGTGAAACTTCCTCCCTTCTCGCCGTGGACGGGCGTCCAAGAGGAGCTGTTCCCCTGCCAGGAGAAGGCGGTTACAGCAACAATGACTCCACCTGTTCCGTCTGTATAGGCATCGAGTGTTTCCCCCTCGCTCATACGTGTGGGGTTTCTCCGTGTGCTCCGGTTTCCACCCCCACGTGTATAAACCTCTCATTGACTGTGCCGATACCACCTTGAGAATATAGAGAGGGCTCCTCACCACCACCACCACCACGTGACTGCTGCTGCCTTCCCGCTCCTCGTCTGTGGTTCCTCCTCCTGGAGCCTCTGAGTCGTCCTCTCTCTCTGAGTCGTCTTCTCTCTCTGAGTCGTCCTCTCTCTCTGAGTCGTCCTCTCTCTCTGAGTCGTCCTCTCTCTGAGTCGTCCTCTCTCTCTGAGTCGTCCTCTCTCTCTGTGTCGTCCTCTCTCTCTCTGAGTCGTCCTCTCTCTCTGAGTCGTCCTCTCTCTCTGAGTCGTCCTCTCTCTCTGAGTCGTCCTCTCTCTCTCTGAGTCGTCCTCTCTCTCTGAGTCGTCCTCTCTCTCTGAGTCGTCCTCTCTCTCTGAGTCGTCCTCTCTCTCTGAGTCGTCCTCTCTCTGAGTCGTCCTCTCTCTCTGAGTCGTCCTCTCTCTCTGAGTCGTCCCCTTTCTCTCTCTCTGAGTCGTCCCCTCTCTCTGAGTCGTCCTCTCTCTGAGTCGTCCTCTCTCTGAGTCGTCCTCTCTCTCTGAGTCATCCTCTCTCTCTCTGAGTCGTCCTCTCTCTCTGAGTCGTCTTCTCTCTCTGAGTCGTCCTCTCTCTCTGAGTCGTCCTCTCTCTCTGAGTCGTCCTCTCTCTCTGAGTCGTCCTCTCTCTGAGTCGTCCTCTCTCTCTGAGTCGTCCTCTCTCTCTCTGAGTCGTCCTCTCTCTCTCTGAGTCGTCCTCTCTCTCTGAGTCGTCCTCTCTCCCTGAGTCGTCCTCTCTCTCTGAGTCGTCCTCTCTCTGAGTCGTCCTCTCTCTGAGTCGTCCTCTCTCTCTCTGAGTCGTCCTCTCTCTTTGAGTCGTTCTCTCTCTGAGTCGTCCTCTCTCTCTGAGTCGTCCTCTCTCTCTGAGTCGTCCTCTCTCTCTGAGTCGTCCTCTCTCTCTGAGTCGCCCTCTCTCTGAGTCGTCCTCTCTCTCTCTGAGTTGTCCTCTCTTTCTGAGTCGTCCTCTCTCTCTGAGTCGTCCTCTCTCTCTGAGTCGCCCTCTCTCTGAGTCGTCCTCTCTCTCTCTGAGTCGTCCTCTCTCTCTGAGTCGTCCTCTCTCTTTGAGTCGTCCTCTCTCTCTGAGTCGTCCTCTCTCTCTGAGTCGTCCTCTCTCTCTCAGTCGTCCTCTCTCTCTCTCTGAGTCGTCCTCTCTCTCTGAGTCGTCCTCTCTCTCTGAGTCGCCCTCCCTCTCTGAGTCGTCCTCTCTCTGTCCCTGAGTCGTACTCTCTCTCTCTGAGTCGTCCTCTCTCTCTTTGAGTTGTCCTCTCTCTCTCTCTGAGTCGTCCTCTCTCTCTGAGTCGTCCTCTCTCTCTCTGAGTCGTCCTCTCTCTGAGTCGTCCTCTCTCTCTGAGTCGTCCTCTCTCTCTCTGAGTCGTCCTCTCTCTCTGAGTCGTCCTCTCTCTCTGAGTCGTCCTCTCTCTCTCTCTGAGTCGTCCTCTCTGAGTCGTCCTCTCTCTCTCTCTGAGTCGTCCTCTCTCTCTGAGTCGTCCTCTCTCTCTGAGTCGTCCTCTCTCTCCCTACGAGAACGATGGGTGACCCCTGTGTGACAGTGTCGGTGCTGCCTTACGAGTTGACATGGTTGCTATTATTGTTGTTGTGTTGTTCTTGTTGGTGTGTTGTTGTGATTGTTGTTGTCCTTGTTATTTTTCTTATTGTGTTGTTATTATTGTCGTTACATTGTTGTATGTTATTGTTGTGTTGTTGTTCTTGTTGTCATTGCTGTTGTTATTGTTATGTTGTTGTTCATATTGTTGTCATTGTTGTTTTGTTATTGTTGTGTTGTTGTTGTTGTGTCAGGGTGCGCCTTTCTCACATACTGCTCAAGGGAATCTGCAATAAAAGCGCAAACCGCGCTGCATGAACAGAAGACGCTACCTGGGGTGAGAGAACCAATACACACATACACACACATACATACACACACATACATACACACATACACAAACATACATACACACATACACACACATACACACATACATACACATGCATACACACATACACACACATCCATACACACATACACACACATCCATACACACATACACACACATACATATACACATACATACACACATACATATACACATACATACACACATACATACACACATACATAAACATACATACACACATACACACATACATACACATGCATACACACATACACACACATCCATACACACATACATATACACATACATACACAAATACATACATACACACATACATAAACATGCATACACACATACATAGACATACATACACACATACACAAACATGCATACACACATACACAAACATACACACATACATAAACATACATACACACATACATAAACATGCATACACACATACACACACATCCATACACACATACACAAGCATACATACACACATACACATACATACACACACATACATACACACACATACATACACATATACATAAACATACATACACAAACATACATACATACAACAACAACAACAACCGCCATTCGCCACTAAGTGGCGGTGACGTCACCACGACGCTTGTGCCAGGCTATGTGCACCCTGAGGCCACGTGAAGTGTCGAACGCCCGCTGGCAGGAGGTCACGGGGCAGACCCAGGTGCCACGGGTCGACTGACTGAGATGACTGGCTGATGCACCACCTGTGCCCCCTACTGTGCCAACCCGCTGTGCTTTAGCCACCCGGCGCTCCGCTCGCTGTTGTGAGCGTCGCTCCTCCGCCCTCCGTTGTTGTTGGAGGGCGACTGCCTCCAACTGCCCAGTAGCATCCTTCACGAGCCTCCTCCACAGAGGCCGATCTTGACACCGCTGGTACCAGTCATCGGCAAGTCCACTCAGCTCCACGTCCTCCTGTACCACATCACTCCATCTCTTCTCTAGCCCGTGCCGCGCCCGCTTAGCCCCCTCAATCCGGCCAAACAAAAGCTGTTTCGGCATGCGGTGGCTGGGCATGCGGGCTACATGACCCAGCCATCGCAGCCTTGCCTGCCGGAGGAGCTCACCGATGGGACCCTGCCCAGATCTTTCAAGGATTTGTGAGCTCCTCACACAATCCAGTCTGGTTAAACCCAGGATGGATCGTAGGCAGGTCAGCCTAAATGTTTCTAACCGGCGAAGATGTTCCATTAGGGGGGTCCACGTTTCGCAAGCGTAGAGAAGGGAGGGAATGACCGTGGCCGAGAAGACCTGAAGCTTAGTGCGGAGCGACAGACCAGGTAGCTTCCACACAGCGTTACGCAACCGATGAAAAGATATTGCCGCTCGACTGATTCGGAGTGAGACCTCTGCTGTTAAACTGGAGCCAGTCATAAGCACACTGCCCAGGTATGGGAAACTCTCCACTCTCTCCACAACTGCCCCATCACCGATTGGGAGTTGTGGGGGTGGAGTGTCCGATGGTACAAAATACCCAGGCAGGTGCTTAGTTTTGGTGGGGCTGATGGTAAGGCCCCACCTCTTAGTGGCACGCTCCAGTCTCAGCAGCAGCGTCTCCAACTCCTCCTCTGACTGAGCAGCTATTACCAAGTCATCAGCATACATAACGTGGTTGAGCAATAGGGAGCCATCCCTTGACCGCACCCGGGCATCGATTAGCCTCCCATTATATCTGTACCATATGGAGATTCCCCCGGTACAGCTATTGAAGGCTTCACGAACTACGTGGTCAAAATAGATGTTAAATAATGTGGGAGCCAGAGGACATCCCTGTCGCACCCCAAGGTGTACAGGGAATGGCTCTGACTCCCGGCCACGTAGTTTTACCCGGGCCCGCTCACCATCATGAAGGTCCTTAATGATCGTGAGCAGAGGGTCAGGTACCCCAAAAGCACGAAGAACGACCCAGAGCCCAGGCCTACTGATGGTATCATAGGCCTTGACCAGGTCAATAAAGCAGAGATGTAGGTCTTGTTGGAATTCCCTACACCTCTGCTGTAGCAGACGGACAGAAAATATGGCATCTGTGCAGGACCGCCCTTTCCTGAAACCGCATTGGGGCTCCGCAAGCCTCTCCTCAGCGTGCCTGGCAAGGCGATGCTGAATAATCCTTGCCAGGACCTTTCCCGGCACACTGAGGAGTGAGATGCCCCTGTAGTTGTTACAGTCTGTGCGGTCCCCCTTCTTAAAAAGGGGGACCACCAGGGCATCCTTCCAATCCTGCGGAACCCGTCCAGTGGTCCAGACTGTTGTTATGATGTCATATAGGGCAGTCTGTGCACAAACGCCACCCTCCCTCAGCATTTCGCTTGGGAGATCATCTCTGCCCGCTGCCTTTCCTGGTCTCAGACTCCGGATCGCCTTCAATACTTCCTCAGCAGATGGCACCTCAGCCAGCCACTCACAGGGGGTGACTTCATCCAATATTTGAGGCACCGCAGCCTCAGCAGGGTTATCCTCACTTTGTGCCACGATGTTTTCCTGGCTGTGGGATTTTCCCTCCCCCAGGACCTCACAGAAATGCTCAGCAAATCTGCGAACCTGTTCCTGGGGGTCGGAAATTGGATCACCGTTTTTTCCCCTAATGATGGTAATAGGTGTGGCGCTGCAGGTTACTTTTTTGATGGAGTTAAATAGCGATTTGTGATCACGGGCCACTGAGGCAGACTCCATCTCCTCAGCAACCCGCGACCACCACCCATCCTTGCAGCGCCTCACGGCTCTCCGAACCTCCGAGCGAAGGCTGCGGTAAGCCTCCTCATTCTCTGACGTGGGATTCTGTAGCCGATGACAGTGGGCCTGTCGCTTTTTCTCAACCATCCTGAACAACTCCTCTGTCATCCAGGGTGTCTGGGGAGGTCTGGACCGCGTACCCAAAGCAGCCATTGCAGCTGCATGAGTCACAGTCCTAAACCTCGCCCATTTACCCTCGACATCAGGAGGAGTCGGGGACGATGCCAATCCCAGCCGCAAGCGATGATGAAATTCTCGCTTGCAACTTTCATCAGATAACTGAGACCAGGCCACTTTAGGTTGGAATGGGGTCCTGGGTGTACACCCACCACCGGAGTGGAAGAATGGCAGGCGCATCTTACAGATGACTAGTCGATGGTCAGAGGGCAGATCAGCTCCACGGTAGGTCCTGGTGTCAAGGACATGGGCTCGCATTCGCTGGTCCGTCACTATGTAGTCCAGCAGATGTTCTTGCTTGGACCCGGCATGCATCCATGATGTTGTGTGGATGCGCCGATGCCGGAACAGCGTGTTGGTAATTACAAGCCCATGGGCTGCACAAAAATCTAGCAGCCTCCTACCGTTGTTATTGAGCTGATCTGGCCCATGCCCTCCAATCACTCCAGACCAGGTGCCAGTATCATGACCAACTCGGGCATTGAAGTCACCCAACATGATGACTCTATCCCGAGTGGCCACTTTAGCCAGCACCTGTGACAGGAGGTCATAGAAGGCATCTGACTCATCGGCTTTGCCTGCATCCCTCCACGGATGTTCATCTTCGGTGGGGGCATAAGTAACCACGACCACCATTCCTCGCCTCCGGTTGATGGGAAGGCGAGCCCAAAGTAGCCTGGGGCTTACAGCTTCCCACACCTCACCGCCACGCTCCCACGCCCCCTTCATTCTTTTGTTCAAAAGAAGACCCACACCCTGTTGTTTGGCAGTCTGCTGCCCCGAGTAGAGGACTGTCCACCCCTCATGGTGGCAGGAGCCAGAGCCGGTCCACCGGACCTCCTGAATGCCGCATAGATCCAGGCGGTACCGGTCCAGCTCCCGACAGAGGAGTGGCAGCCTCTCCTCTGCAGTGAGCGTTCGAACATTCCACGTGGCCACCCGTAGTGGCTTTTCGTTGTTTCTGGAGTAGCCCCGAGGGTAGGTATTCAATCTCCTGGCTCCGCCAATTGGGGTTTGGCCAGGAGACGTCATAGACGCCTGGCCCCCCGAGGCCTCCGGCACAAGCTTAGTTGTTACATATTTCACTTTAATTCGTGGTTTTGTGGTAATTAATTGAAGGTGGAGGGGTTACCAGCCCCTCGCACCCGTCCAGAGCCCCCGTTTAGCCCCTGTGGTGGACACATATGCCATGAGGGGAGGAGCCAATCAAAATTGGAACTCCCCCCACAGCACTGTCCACGACAGAGTTGCCCGTCCGGCACCGCGAGGAGGTAGGGGGTTGTTTTGCCACACATACACACACGTAACAACAACCGCCATTCGCCACTAAGTGGCGGTGACGTCACCACGACGCTTGTGCCAGGCCATGTGCACCTTGAGGCCACGTGGAGTGTCGAACGCCCGCTGGCAGGGGGTCACGCGGCAGACCCAGCAGGTGCCATGGGTTGACTGAATGAGATGACTGAGATGACTGGCCCATACATCAGCTGTGCCCCCTACTGTGCCAACTTGCTGCGTTTAAGCCGCTCGGTGCTCCGCTCGTTGTGAGCGTCGCTCCTCTGCCCTCCGTTGTTGCTGGAGGGCGACTGCCTCCAACTGCGCTGTAGCATCCATAGTTCACGAACCTGCTTCTCCTCATCCACGGAGGCCGATCTTGACACCGCTGGTACTCGTCATCTCTTCTCTCACACACACAGACACGCACCACGGTAGCAGCGGAGCTGTAGTAGCAGTACTCATAAGGCGAGTCTGGATTCACCCGCTAAAGCAATGTTACCATGACAACCAGGCCGGAGGGTTGCCCTGGAAACACAATTTCCTCCCTAAACTCTGTTGCCCCTCCCCCACAACCCCCATGACCCCTCCTCCACTCCCCCGTGGCCCCTCCCCCCTCCCCCGTGGCCCCTCCCCCCTGGCCCCTCCCCCGTGGCCCCTCCCCCGTGGCCCCTCCCCTGTGGGCCCTGCCCACGCAGGTGGAGCTGGATCTGAACCGTCCCCCCCCACCCCACCCCCCCCAGCAGTACGAAATGGTGGGTAAAGTGTGGGTACACGTCAGGTCGGCGTGGGAAGAGTAGGCCAATAACCCCCCACGTGTGAGAGCTACCCCGACCCCCTGTTAGAGGAGACCCCTTCCAGCAGTAGTGACCTGGGCGTGCGCTTGCAGGGCTGCGCCTGTGCCTCCGATTTGACCTCAGAGCATCCCCTGTTTTGAGCGCGAACTCTACCGTAATCGCTCTCCCACCTCTCTCCCACCTCTCTCCATTGTATTCAGATGACTCGGCCCATTCAGGTGAAGCCTGCAGACAGTGAGAGCAGAGGAGGTGAGTCTCGTGCACTCTCCCCCGCCCACCCTCACACGATCGTACTCTCACTCACCCCCTCTCTCACTCTCATCCCCTCTCAACACTCCCTCTCTCACTCACCCCCTCTCTCACTCACCCCCTCTCTCACTCACCCCCTCTCTCACTCACCCCCACTCTCACTCTCTCTCACTCACCCCGTCTCACTCACTCCCTCTCACTTACCCCCTCTCACTCACCCTCTCTCACTCTCACCCTCTCTCACTCTCTCTCACTCACCCCCACTCTCACTCTCTCTCTCACCCCCTCTTCTCACTCTCTCTCACTCACCCCCTCTCACTCACCCTCTCACACTCTCACCCTCTCTCACTCTCACCCTCTCTCACTCTCTCTAACTCACCCCCACTCTCACTCTCACCCTCTCTCACCCCCTCTCACTCACCCCCTCTTCTCACTCTCTCTCACTCACCCCCTCTCACTCACTCACCCTCTCTCACCCTCACCCTCTCTCACTCTCACCCTCTCTCTCTCACACGCTCACACTCTCACTCACCCCCTCTCTCACCCTCTCTCACTCTCACGCTCGCTCTCTCACTCACCCCCTCTCTCACTCACACCCTCTCTCACTCTCACTCACTCACCCCCTCTCACTCTCCCCCTCTCACTCACCCCCTCTCACTCACCCCCTCTCACTCACCCCCTCTCTCACTCACCCCCTCTCACACTCACCCCCTCGTCCGGCCTCCTTTGTCTCCCCAAGGGTGATGTTTATTACACACCGCACCAGGTACTCATTTGAGGCAGAGTCGACCTAGGGGAGGCCCAGGGCCGGTTCAGATAATCGTCACTAACGTATGCGTCTGAGTGGGGCGCAGAGGTTGGCGCACTGCGTATAAATCCGGCGCATCCAAGTTCGATTCCTGCTCACGGCCACCAATACCACTGACTGATATCCGAACCGGTCCCGGGCCTCCCCTAGATCGGCTGAGCCTCCAATGAGTAACACCCCAATGAGTACACTTGCCCCAACAGTCTGTTGGAGGCTTCACGGGGGGATCTTGCTCATTGTGTGCGTGTGTCTGCGTGTGCAGACAGGAAGCTGTTTGTGGGCATGCTGGGTAAGCAGCAGGCCGAGGGGGAAGTTCGCCGCCTCTTCCAGCCCTTCGGGGTGCTGGAGGAGTGCACCGTTCTCAGGGGACCTGACGGGGTCAGCAAGGGTAATCCGCTCACTCACTCACTCATGCGTTCACTCACTCACTCACGCGTTCACGCACAGTCATGCTCGCTCACTCACTCACGCGTTCACGCACGCGTTCACTCGCTCACTCAGTCATGCTCCCTCACTCACGCGTTCACTCACAGTCATGCTCGCTCACTCATGCGTTCACTCACAGTCATGCTCGCTCACTCATGCGTTCACTCACAGTCATGCTCGCTCACTCATGCGTTCACTCACAGTCATGCTCGCTCACTCATGCGTTCACTCAGTCATGCTCGCTCACTCACGCGTTCACTCACAGTCATGCTCGCTCACTCACTCGCGTTCACTCACTCACGCGTTCACGCACGCGTTCACTCGCTCAGTCATGCTCGCTCACTCACGCGTTCACTCACAGTCATGCTCGCTCACTCTCGCTCAATCACTTATGCTCATACTCGCAAGCGCACTAATACATTCGCTCGCTCGCTTACACTCGTGCAACCGCGTCTCGTTTAACGACCATTGTTGATTTCAGACCAAGTTGTTCAACAAAATAGCGAAATGTTCGTTTAGCGAGTGGCGGCGGCGGCAGGGGGCGCACTGCGGCCCGCAGCTGTTGGTCGAGCAGCGCGCCCCGCGTCATTCGTTGTGTGGGGGAGGGGGCCTCGTGGTGGCTCTGTAATGAGTCGGTGGGGTGCATGGGGGGAGGGGTCGGTGGGGTGCATGGGGGGAGGGGTCGGTGGGGTGCATGGGGGGAGGGGTCGGTGGGGTGCATGGGGGGGAGGGGTGGGTGGGGTGCATGGGGGGAGGGGTCAGTGGGGTGCATGGGGGGAGGGGTCGGTGGGGTGCATGGGGGGAGGGGTCGGTGGGGTGCATGGGGGGAGGGGTCGGTGGGGTGCATGGGGGGAGGGGTCGGTGGGGTGCATGGGGGGAGGGGTCGGTGGGGTGCATGGGGGAGGGGTCGGTGGGGTGCATGGGGGGAGGGGTCGGTGGGGTGGATGGGGGGAGGGGTCGGTGGGGTGCATGGGGGGAGGGGGTCGGTGGGGTGCATGGGGGAGGGGTCGGTGGGGTGCATGGGGGGAGGGGTCGGTGGGGTGCATGGGGGGAGGGGTCGGTGGGGTGCATGGGGGGAGGGGTCGGTGGGGTGCATGGGGGGAGGGGGTCGGTGGGGTGCATGGGGGAGGGGTCGGTGGGGTGCATGGGGGGAGGGGTCGGTGGGGTGCATGGGGGGAGGGGTCGGTGGGGTGCATGGGGGGAGGGGTTGGTGGGGTGCATGGGGGGAGGGGTCGGTGGGGTGCATGGGGGGAGGGGTCGGTGGGGTGCATGGGGGGAGGGGTCGGTGGGGTGCATGGGGGGAGGGGTCGGTGGGGTGCATGGGGGAGGGGTCGGTGGGGTGCATGGGGGGAGGGGTCGGTGGGGTGCATGGGGGGAGGGGTCGGTGGGGTGCATGGGGTAGGTGGCTCCGCTAATTAACCACAGACGCTCATGAGAACTGGAATTCGCGCTCTACCCTGTATCCCCGCCATCGTGGCTATTAACCCCAGGGACCCTGGTTCTATTCCCAGCCACGGCTAACATCAGTCGCGAGTAATATTTTGAACCGGCGGCCCTGCACGGCCCTGCTTCTCCACCCACTAACGCCATCTGCCCTTCAAACAACATCAATGCCAGACACCTACATGTACATGTACGTACATGTACGTTGAACTTATTTTGCACCGTATGTAGCCAATTGTGCTAATCGGAGGTGCGGGGGGATGAACAACAAACTTAAACACAAAAACATTGTTTTAAATGTGGTATAGTGGTGTAGTGTATAGTGTAGTGCATTGTAGTGTATAGTGTAGTATGTATGTTCAACTTATTTAGCACCGTACGTAGCCAACCGTGCTAGATCGTGTGTGGCAAGTGTTCCATTTGATGTTTTATTACAAAAAATTTAAATTGTAGTTTCATATATCTCACGTAAAAAAAGGTTATTCAACAGTGGAAAATGTTTGGGGCTGAGACGTAACTCTGCCTTAAACATGGGAGTGCTTGTTTAACGAGTTTTCGCTGAACGAGCAATTTAACGCTAAAGCGAAACACGCCCTGTGCTTGCACGCGCTCGCTCGCTCACTCTCTCACTCATCCATTGACTCGCCCACTATCACTCGCTCACTCTTTAACTCATTCTCAATCATTCTCGTTCACTCTCCTACTCCGCGTGCTGCTGCTGCTGCTGCAGGCTGTGCGTTTGTCAAGTTCTCCTCTCACGCCGAGGCGCACACAGCCATCGGAGCCCTGCACCTGAGCCAGACTATGCCGGTGACTCTCACACTCATGCTCACTCACTCACACTTACACACTCACTCACCCTCGCTCACACTCACTCACTCATGCTCACTCACTCACACTTACACACTCACTCACCCTCGCTCACACTCACTCACTCATGCTCACTCACTCACACTTACACACTCACTCACCCTCGCTCACACTCACTCACTCATGCTCACTCACTCACACTTACACACTCACTCACCCTCGCTCACACTCACTCATGCTCATTCACTCACACTTACATACTCACTCACCCTCGCTCACACTCACTCACTCATGCTCATTCACTCACACTTACATACTCAAGCTCACTCACCCTCGCTCACACTCACTCACCCTCGCTGACAACAACCGCCATTCACCACTAAGTGGCGGTGACGTCATCACGACGCTTGTGCCAGGCCATGTGCACATTGAGGCCACGTGGAGTGTCGAACACCCGCTGGCAGGAGGTCACGGAGCAGACCCAAGTGCCACGGGTCGACTAAGATGACTGAGATGACTGGCTGATGCACCACCTGTGCCCCCTACTGTGCCAACCTGCTGTACTTTAGCCACCCTGCGCTCCGCTCGTTGTTGTGAGTGTCGCTCCTCCGCCCTCCGTTGTTGTTGGAGGGCGACTGCCTCCAACTGCCCAGTAGCATCCTTCACGAGCCTCCTCCACAGAGGCCGATCTTGACACCGCTGGTACCAGTCATCGGCAAGTCCACTCAGCTCCACGTCCTCCTGTACCACATCACTCCATCTCTTCTCTAGCCCGTGCCGCGCCCGTTTAGCCCCCTCGATCCGGCCGAACAAAAGCTGTTTCGGCATGCGGTGGCTGGGCATGCGGGCTACATGACCCAGCCAACGCAGCCTTGCCTGCCGGAGGAGCTCACCGATGGGACCTTGCCCAGATCTTTCAAAAATTTGTGAGCTCACACAATCCAGCCTGGTTAAACCCAGGATGGATCGTAGGCAGGCTAGCCTAAATGTTTCTAACCGGCGAAGATGTTCCATTAGGGGGGTCCACGTTTCGCAAGCGTAGAGAAGGGAGTGCATGACCGTCACCAAGAAGACCTGAAGTTTAGTGTGGAGCGACAGACCATGTAGCTTCCACACAGCGTTATGCAACCGATGAAAAGATATTACCGCTCGACTAATTCGGAGTGAGACCTTTTCTGTTAAACTGGAGCCGCTCACACTCACTCACTCACACACACATTCATGCTCTCACTCAGTCATCCTCACACACACTCTCACATTCACACACACTCTCATATTCACACACACTCTCACACTCATGCTCGCTCACACTCATTCACCCTCGCTCACACTCACTCACCCTCGCTCACACTCACCCACACTCACACGCACTCACTTTCACTCACACTCTCACACTCACTCATGCTCACTCACATTTACTCACTCACTCACCCACACACTCACACTCTCACACTCACTCATGCTCACCCACTCACCCTCGCTCACACTCACTCACTCACACACGCACTCGCTCACACACGCACTCACTCACACAAGCACTCACTCGCTCTCACGTTCATTCACCCACTCACTCTCCGTCACTCTCCCTCACTCTCACATTCACTCACATTCACTCACACTCACGATCACATTTACTCACATTCACTCACCCTCGCTCACAACAACAACAACAACAACCGCCATTCGCCACTAAGTGGCGGTTACGTCACCACGACGCTTGTGCCAGGCCATGTGCACATTGAGGCCACGTGGAGTGTTGAACGCCCGCTGGCAGGAGGTCACGGGACAGACCCAAGTGCCACGGGTCGACTAACTGAAATGACTGGCTGATGCACCACTTGTGCCCCCTACTGTGCCAACCTGCTGTGCTTTAGCCACCCGGCGCTCCGCTCGTTGTTGTGAGCGTCGCTCCTCCGCCCTCCGTTGTTGTTGGAGGGCGACTGCCTCCAACTGCCCAGTAGCGTCCTTCACGAGCCGATCTTGACACCGCTGGTACCAGTCATCGGCAAGTCCACTCAGCTCCACGTCCTCCTGTATCACGTCACTCCATCTCTTCTCTTGCCCGTGCCGCGCCCGTTTAGCCCCCTCGATCCGGCCGAACAAAAGCTGTTTCGGCATGCGGTGGCTGGGCATGCGGGCTACATGACCCAGCCAACGCAGCCTTACCTGCCGGAGGAGCTCACCGATGGGACCGTGCCCAGATCTTTCTAGGATTTATGAGCTCCTCACACAATCCAGCCTGGTTAAACCCAGGATGGATCGTAGGCAGGCCAGCCTAAATGTTTCTAACCGGCGAAGCTGTTCCATTAGGGGGGTCCACGTTTCGCAAGCGTAGAGAAGGGAGGGAATGACCGTGGCCAAGAAGACCTTAAGCTTAGTGCGGAGCGACAGACCAGGTAGCTTCCACACAGCATTACGCAACCGATGAAAAGATATTGCCGCTCGACTGATTCGGAGTGAAACCTCTGCTGTTAAACTGGAGCCGGTCTAAGCACACTGCCCAGGTATGGGAAACTCTCCACTCTTTCCACAACTGCCCCATCACCGATTGGGAGTTGTGGGGGTGGAGTGTCCGATGGTACAAAATGCCCAGGCAGGTGCTTAGTTTTGTTGGGGCTGATGGTAAGGCCCCATCTCTTAGTAGCACGCTCCAGTCTTAACAGCAGCGTCTCCAACTCCTCCTCTGAATGAGCAGCTATTACCAAATCATCAGCCACGTAGTTTTACCCGGGCCCGCTCACCATCATGAAGGTCCTTAATGATCGTGAGCAAAGGGTCGGGTACTCCAAAAGCACGAAGAACAACCCAGAGCCCTGGCCTACTGATGGTATCATAGGCCTTGACCAGGTCGATAAAGCAGAGATGTAGGTCTTGCTGGAATTCCCTACACCTCTGCTGTAGCAGACGGACAGAAAATATGGCATCCGTGCAAGACCGCCCTTTCCTGAAACCGCATTGGGGCTCCGCAAGCCTCTCCTCAGCGTGCCAAGCAAGGCGATGTTGAATAATCCTTGCCAGGACCTTTCCCGGCACACTGAGGAGTGAGATGCCCCTGTAGTTGTTACAGTTTGTGCGGTCCCCCTTCTTAAAGAGGGGGACCACCAGGGCATCCTTCCAATCCTGCGGAACCTGTCCAGTGGTCCAGACTGTTGTTATGATGTCATATAGGGCAGTCTGTGCACAATCGCCACCCTCCCTCAGCATTTCGCTTTGGAGATCATCTCTGCCCGCTGCCTTTCCTGGTCTCAGACTCCGGATCGCCTTCAGTACTTCCTCAACAGATGGCACCTCAGCCAGCCACTCACAGGGGGTGACTTCTTCCAATATTTGAGGCACCGTAGCCTCAGCAGGGTCATCCCCACTTTGTGCCACGATGTTTTCCTGGCTAAGGGATTTCCCCTCCCCCAGGACCTCACAGAAATGCTCAGCAAATATGCAAACCTGTTCCTGGGGGTCGGAGATTGGATCACCATTTTTTCCCCTAATGATGGTAATAGGTGTGTCCCTGCAGGTTACTTTTTGGATGGAGTTAAATAGAGATTTGTGATCACAGGCCACTGAGGCAGACTCCATCTCCTCAGCAACCCGCGACCACCACCCATCCTTGCAGCGCCTCACGGCTTTCCGAACCTCCGAGCGAAGGCTGCGGTAAGCCTCCTCATTCTCTGATGTGGGATTCTGTAGCTGATGACAGTGGGCCTGTTGCTTTTTCTCAACCATCCTGAACACCTCCTCTGTCAGCCAGGGTCTCTGGGGAGGTCTGGACCGCGTACCCAAAGCAGCCATTGCAGCTGCATGAGTCACAGTCCTAAACCTCGCCCATTTACCCTCGACATCAGGAGGAGTGGGGGACGATGCCAACCCCAGCCGCAAGCGATGATGAAATTCTCGCTTGCAACTTTCATCAGATAACTGAGACCAGGCCACTTTAGGTTGGAATGGGTTCCTGGGTGTATACCCACCGCCGGAGTGGAAGAATGGCAGGCGCATCTTACAGATTACTAGTCGATGGTCAGAGGGCAGATCAGCTCCACAGTAGGTCCTGGTGTCAAGGAGATGGGCTCGCATCCGCTGGTCCGTCACTATGTAGTCCAGCAGATGTCCTTGCTTGGACCCGGCATGCATCCATGATGTTGTGTGGATACGCCGATGCCGGAACAGCGTGTTGGTAATTACAAGCCCATTGGCTGCACAAAAATCTAGCAGCCTCCTACCGTTGTTATTGAGCTGATCTGGCCCATGCCCTCCAATCACTCCAGACCAGGTGCCAGCATCATGACCAACTCGGGCATTGAAGTCACCCAACAAGATGACTCAATCCCGAGGGGCTACTTTAGCCAGCACCTGTGACAGGAGGTCATAGAAGGCATCTGACTCATCGGCTTTGCCTGCATCCCTCCACGGATGTTTGTTTTCGGTGGGGGAATAAGTAACCACGACCACCACTCCTCGCTTCCGGTTGATGGGAAGGCGAGCCCAAAGTAGCCTGGGGCTTATAGCTTCCCACACCTCACCGCACGCTCCCACGCCCCCTTCATTATTTTGTTCAAAAGAAGAGCCACACCCTGTTGTTTGGCAGTCTGCTGCCCCGAGTAGAGGACTGTCCACCCCTCATGGTGGCAGGAGCCAGAACCGGTCCACCGGACCTCCTGAATGCCACAGAGATCCAGGCGGTACCGGTCTAGCTCCCGACAGAGGAGTGACAGCCTCTCTTCCGCAGTGAGCGTTCGAACATTCCACGTGGCCATCCGTAGTGGCTTTTCGTTGTTTCTGGAGGAGCCCTGAGGGTAGAGATTCAATCTCCTGGCTCCGCCAATTGGGGTTTGGCCAGGAGACGTCATAGACGACTGTCCCCCCGGGGCCTCCGGCACAAGCTTATTAGTTAAATTTTGTCTAAATTTGGTATTCGTAGTTTAGTGGTAATTAATTGAAGGTGGAGGGGTTACCAGCCCCTCGCACCCGTCCAGAGCCCCCGTTTAGCCACTGTGGTAGACACAGACGCCATGAGGGGAGGAGCCAATCGGAATTGGACCTCCCCCCACAGCACTGTCCACGACAGAGTTGCCCGTCCGGCACCGCGAGGAGGTAGGGGGTTGTTTTGCCGGACACACTCACTCACACACACGCACTCACTCACTCTCACATTCACTCACTCTCACATTCACTCACTCTCACATTCACTCACACATCACTCACATTCACTCACATTCACTCACATTCAGACACTCAATTACTCACTCTCACATTCACTCATACTTACACACTCACTCTCACATTCACTTTCTCACTTTCACTCACACTCTCACATTCACTCACTCTCACACATGACGACGATGACAGCGATATGACGCCCTCAATGACGACAGTATGACGCCATCGACGGTGGTGGTACGGTGTCGTTGTGCCGCAGGGCGCCTCCTCGAGCCTCGTGGTGAAGTTCGCCGACAGTGACCGCGAGCGCAGCGCCCGGCGCCTGCACCAACAGCTGGGGGCCGCCGGCGCGGTCGCCCTGCAGCTCACCGCCGCAGCACCACCGCCACCACCACCGGGGGCCGTCACTGCCGCGGCCGTCTTGGCGGCTTACGGGACGGCGGAGGCCTACGGGACGGTGTTCACGCACACGGCCGCCGCCGTGAGTCCAGCGGGTGCCGGTGCTGGAATCCCATCGGGACAAGCGGCCCTGTTATTTCTCATCTTCCTGATGGCAACTTGTAACTCCTGCATACTGAGTAGTTCTTCCCTATCATTTTTTATGGGTTACTGAGGGATTTTGGTCGATGACTCCATCTCAACGGTTGTACTTCGGTTGGGTGAGTTCTTTGCAGTGTTCTCTCCAACGGAATTTTATTGATTCATCATCCTTCAGCAGCTTTTGTCTAACATTTGAGCGAAGGGGGTTTAGGCCACGGTAACTGGGTCCGTATACTGCCTTGGTGACGTTGAAGATGTCTCTGGTATCGCCGGAGTCTGCCAGCTGCTGGATCTCCAGGGCTTTCTCTGTCCACTGTTTGTGAACAACTGCTCTCCTTCTCTCTGTCTCCCCGCGGTGGCCGTAGCTGGTGCAGCAGCAGAAGGTGGCGGTGATGACATCTGTGCTAGGCTATGTGCACCGCTGTTGGCTACGCAACAGCATAGCCACCGCTGCCAACGAGTAGTAACGTCAGCCGTGCGACGCCTGTGCCAGGCTAGGTGCACCGCGAGTTAACAACTGCTCTCTCTGTCTCTCCGCGGTGGCCGCAGTTGCCTCAGCAACAGCAGCAGCAGGTGGTGCTGATGACGCCTGTGCCAGGCTAGGTGCACCACGAGTTAACAACCATTCTGTCTCTCCACGGTGGCCGCAGCTGGCTCAGCAGCAGCAGCAGGTGGCGCTGATGACGGGCCGTGGCTGCTGCAGGAGGGGGGGGCGGCCCCCCAGCGTTCCTGCATGGGGTCACGACGCTCAACGGCCTAATGGGCCCCCCCCCCCCTGAGCCCCCCTTCTGGTGAGTCACGCCCCCCCCCACCCTACCCACCCCCAACACTACCCCCCACCCTACCCCCCGCCACCACAAGGCTGAGTCGACCTAAGGGAGGGCCCATGACCGGTTCAGATAATCGTCACCGGTGTCGGTGGCCGTGAGCGGGGGATAGAACTCGGGTCTCTTCCAGGTTTGTAGCCCAACGTGCTAACCGCCTGCACCACCGCTCCCCACACACACGCACCACCACCATCATCATCATCATTGGCGATCACTCGGGGTCGAGTGTGGATTGTCCTGGTGGGTCGTGTTTGTGCATCGTCAGATGGCTGAAGAGGCCGATCCGAGAGTCGCAGATTCTGCTGTAGTGTGGGCATGGGTTACGTGATGGTGGTGGATGATGGTTGGGGCCTTCTTGGTGGTCAGCCTCTCCTTTCGTCGTCGCTGCTTGTCCTCTGCGGCACGGCGGTCATCCTTTTCGTAGAGTCTGACGCCATCATGGACGGTCTTCCTCCACGTGGTTCTGTCCCTGTCCAATGTCCTCCCAGTTGGTGGTGTTGATGTGCCACTCCTTGAGGTTCATGCTGATGTTGTCCTCGTAGCGGCTTCTTCCGTCCTCCGGGGACCCCACTGTCCAGCGTTTCGCTCGGAGTACAGGACCCTGTTTGTGAGTCGGGAGTTGGGCATCCTAAAAACGTGGCCACTCTATCTGAGCTGCTGTGGAGTGATGGTAGTGGTGATGCTGTTAATGTTTGCGTCCTCCAAGACACTGGTGTAGGTGCGCCTGTCTTCCCAACTGATCCTCATGATTTTGCAGAGGCGTCTTTGTTGGTGCGACTCCAGGGCTTTAAGGTGCTGACTGTACGTGGTCCAGGTTTCAGCCCCATACAGTAGGTTGGGAAGAATACGGCTTTTAGAAGGGGAGTTTATTGTTGACCTGGATATCGCGATCTTCAAAGACTTTTTTCCTCAATATGGCAAAGGCTCCACTGGCATAGCTATAGTGGTGGTGGTGGTGGTATATTTCCGCGTTGATATTAGCTTTGGAGGAAAGAAGGTTGCAAAGGTAGGGAAAGTGATCCACATTTTCGAGAATGGTATCGTCAAAATGTATTGCTGGTGCCAGATTTGTCTTGGCAAGTGGTGGTTGGTGGAGGATTTGCATCTTTATTGCGTTTAGGGCCAAATCCAGGAGCGTGTATGCCTTTGCGAAGGCATCCAGGATGCACTGTAGATCTTCTTCTGAGTGGGCAGTGATGGCGTTGTCATCTGCATCCTGGAGCTCCATGATGGAAGTGGTGGAGAGGCTGAAGAGGCTTCCGTCTGCTCTGTACAGGATTTGGACTCCCTGAGGAAGATTTTGGCCTGTGAGGTGGAGGATAGCAACAATGAAGATTGTAAACTGCGTGGGGGCACAATGACGCAGCACTGTTTAACCCCCCCCCCCCCCCCCCCCCCCGTTTCCACCTTGAAGGGTTTAGTTCCTTTACCACTGTTACTGAGCACTGTTGCTGACACGTTGGCATGCAGCAGTCGCAGTACCCTTGAGTGAATTTGTCAGTGCAGCCGATTTTTGACAGAATCAGCCAGAGGGCATGATGGTTCACAGAGTCGAAGGCTTTTGTAAGCTCCATGAAGGCCATGCAAAGTGGTTGCTTTTCTTCTGGTATTTCTCTTGCAGTTGTCGTACTGTGAAAATCATACCCTGGATGGGCAAAAGCCACACTGTGATTCTGGGAGGATTTGTCCTGACAGGGGTAGGAGTCAGTTTGCCAGTATGCAGGGAAGTATTTTCCCGGTGGTGTAGTTGCCACAATCTGCCCTGTCCTTTTTAAAGATGGTAACAATCAAGGCATTCATGAGTTCTGTGGGGATTTCCTCCTTGTGCCTGATCTTCAAGAGCAGGGCATGCATGTGGTGTAAGAGCTCTGACCGCCTTCCTTTAAGATGTCTGCTGGAATCCCATCAGGTCCAGCGGTCTTGTTATTTCCTATCTTCCTGATTGCATCTTGTCCCTCCTGCATGCTGGGTGGTTCATCCCTGTGATATTTTATGGGTTACTGAGGGATTTTGGTCAATGACCCCCATCTCAATGGTTGTACTTCAGTTGTCAGAATTCTTTGAAGTGTTCTCTCCACCGGGATTTGATTTATTCATCATCCTTCAGCAGCTTTTGTCTATCTTTTGAGCGAAGAGGTTTAGGCCACGGTAACTGGGTCCGTATACTGCCTTGGTGGCATTGAAGATGCCTCTGGTATTGCTGGAGTCTGCCAGCTGCTGGATCTCCAGGGCTTTCCCTGTTTACCGTCTGTTTTGAGTTTCCTCACCTGGCATTGGAGATCCGCATCGCTCTGGGGTGAGCCTTTCTTTTAGTCTTCCAGTTTGTGTCATTCTGCCAGGTGCAAGAGGTTCTTCGTTTTGTGTTGATGAGCCGGTCAATCTCAGTGTCGTTCTCATCAAACCAGTCTTTGTGCTTTTTGAACTCATAGCTAATGGCATTCTCGCAGGTGTTGAGGATGGTGGACTTGAGCATGCTCCAGCGTGTTTCGATATCGTCAGGATATTCTTTGGGGAGTTCTGCACCAAGAACAGATTGGAAGTGTTGTAGTTTGCTGGTATCGCGCAGACTATTGATGTTAAGTCTTGGCCGGCAAAGCCTTTTTGTCATCAGTCTAATGGACATAGTGTAGCAGATGAGGCGATGGTCTGTCAATAGTCACCTGACGAGGCGATGGTCTGTCCAATAGTCGCCTGATGAGGTGATGGTCTGTCCAATAGTCGCCTGATGAGGCGATGGTCTGTCCAATAGTCACCTGATGAGGCGATGGTCTGTCCTATAGTCGTCAGATGAGGCGATGGTCTGTCCAATAGTCACCTGATGAGGCGATGGTCCTGTCCAATAGTCGTCTGATGAGGCGATGGTCTGTCCAATAGTCACCTGATGAGGCGATGGTCTGTCCAATAGTCACCTGATGAGGCGATGGTCTGTCCAATAGTCGCCTGATGAGGCGATGGTCTGTCCAATAGTCGTCTGATGAGGCGATGGTCTGTCCAATAGTCGTCTGATGAGGCGATGGTCTGTCCCAATAGTCGCCTGATGAGGCGATGGTCTGTCCAATAGTCGCCTGATGAGGCGATGGTCTGTCCAATAGTCGTCTGATGAGGCGATGGTCTGTCCAATAGTCACCTGATGAGGCGATGGTTTGTCCAATAGTCGCCTGATGAGGCGATGGTTTGTCCAATAGTCACCTGATGAGGCGATGGTCTGTCCAATAGTTGTCAGATGAGGCGATGGTCCTGTCCAGTAGTCACCTGATGAGGTGATGGTCTGTCCAGTAGTCACATGATGAGGCGATGGTCTGTCCAGTAGTCACCTGATGAGGCGATGGTCTGTCATCGCTCTTGTGGTGCTCGCATCACGACAATCCTTGGCTCGGACAATGGCGTAGTCAATTAGATGCCAGAGTTTGGAGGCGGGGGTGCATCCAGGATGTTTTTACTTAGTTTTTTTTTTCTGACGGAAGAGTGTATTGGTGATGATGAGATCATGTGTCCACACATTTGGTTAGGAGAAGAACTCCATTTGAGTCGGTTTGGCTGACGCCTTCCTTTCCAATCGTGCTCTCTCCAAAGGTTGTGGTCCTAGCTGACAGTGGCATTAAAATCCCCAAGAAGAATGATCTCGTCTTCCTCAGGGATGCTTGAGAGTATTACGTTCAAGTTGGCAGAGAAGAAGGGCTCCTTTATTTGCTCCTGTGAGTCCAGGTCATAGGCACTCACATCTGTGGCCATTTTGTTGTTTGCAAAGCTTCGGACAAATGGTCATGAGGCATTCATTGACGCCCACAGGGAGTTCTGAGAGGTGGCTGATGAGTCTGTTCTAAATAGCGAAACCAACTCCATGGTTCCAGCTTTCATCAGCTGATTTACCTCTCCAGAAGAAGGTGTAGCCACCTTTATCCTCCTTCAGTTGCCCTTCATCTGCTCGTCGGGTTTCAGAGAGCGCAGCAAGGTCACTCCGGCACTCTCTCAGTTCGCTGGCGATAATCGCAGTTCGTCTCTCAGGTGGATCACGGGTTGCACTCTCCATTCGGGTTCGCACGTTCCAGGCTCCACAATTCATTTTTCTTTGTCTCTGACTGCAAAGAGGCGATCCCACTGGACGCGGTAAAACCAGTCAGGAGTATACTCTTTGGTTTTATTCGGTAAAGTCACGTAGGTAAAATATAATAAAACAATTAAATCACGACGTTCAAATCTAGAATCAGTCAGGAGTATTGAAGCTGGCTATTATTATAAGGGCACCTTTTCCAGCCTCTTCCCCTACTGGGCTGAGCATAGCGGATCATAAAATGAGCTGGTCGGTCATAAGTGCAGCTGCCAAAAAGCCCTACCAGCCTCTATCCCCGAGCAAGACGACTGAATCGAACACCCACCACCTGCGTGCCAGTTCCTGGCTAGGAGCTGCCAGACTATCACGATTCTGCTGCCGTCACCATTCGATGATCGCCACCGGGCTTTGAATCCAGGATGTGCAAGAGATTGTTCCCTTTCAAGAAGTTGCCTGCGCATGACATCTTGTTATTTTGAGACTGATGCACAGGCAGCCACCACACGGTCCAGAGAGGGATCAGGGTCCAATGGCATGGAGACCATGACAATTGGCGACCTCTCTCTGCTGCAGCCTTCGTCCGCCTTCACAACCGTTGTAACTTGCCGTCATCTTCCGCCTGCTCCGCCGTTGAGGTTTTTGTTGGCTACGCGCTCCGTTTGGAAACCTCCCCTTTGACCTTAGCTGCATGGGTGACCCTACCAGGGACCTTAGGCCCACATGAGTGGCTGAGCTCCAGACGGTATCGCTCTTGGGACCTCAGGAACACACAAGCTTCTCCACCATGGCAAGGGTGGCGATCCTAGGAGAAGCAACACAGAGAGAAGGACAAAGATCCCCCGAATAGCCTAACATACTGCAGGAGTCACGTAGCTAGAAAAAATAATAGATCATGACGTTTTGTGATCTCTCACCTGAAGACGGTCGCTTGTGTTGCGATCGAAACGTCGTGATTTGTTATGATTTTTCTACCTACGTGACTTTACCGAAAGAATCAAAGAGAATGGATTCCTGCAGTCATGAAAGCTTCAAATCAAGATTAATACTGTAGGAGGAAGTAATGTTAGCGAGCCACAGACAAAAACAACCGCCATTCGCTACTGATCGGTGGTGACGTCACCACGGCGCTTGTGCCAGGCTAGGTGCACTTTAAGGCCAGCTGAAGTGTCAAACGCCTGCTGGCAGGTCACAGGACAGACCTAGGTTCCATGGGTTGACCGACTGAGATGATTGGCATATGCACCAGCTCTGCCCCCTACTGTGCTAACTTGCTGCGTTTTAGCTGCCCAGTACTCCACTCATTGTTGTGAGCATCGCTCCTCTGCCCTCCGCTTTTGTTGCTGGAGGGCGACTGCCTCCAACTGCCCAGCAGTGTCCTTTACGAGCCTCCTCTTCTAGAGAGGCCGATCTTGACACCGCTGGTACCGGTCTTCGGCAAGTCCCACTCAGCTCCATATCTTGAACCGCATTAGCCCATCTAAACAAAAACTAAACCATTTTTAAAATTTTTACCAGGTAAGGCCCACTGAGCTATGTAGATTTTTTCAGAAGTGACCTGACCACAAATGATAGCTCAACGAAGTGGCTTATCGTGTGGAAATGTATAGCAGCCAAAAACTCTACATCCACGTTTGTAAATGTAGACCGGTGGACCCGGAAGAAAATTCACACGACCACGGGGAGACCATGCAAACTCCAAATATACAGCAGGCATCAGGGTCGAAATTTAACCCACGACTTCCTGCATATCTGGCGAGGGAGTTAACATCTCGCTACAGTGAGTGGGCATAGCGGTGACTGCGCATGTGGGCTACATGCCCCAGCCAACGCAGCAGTCTTGCCTGTTGGAGGAGCTCACTGATGGGGCCGTGTCCATATCTAAACACTCCGTCACACAGTATCACACACCGTCACACAGTGTCACACAGTGTCACACAGTGTCACACACCGTCACATACCGTCACACAGTGTCACACAGTGTCACACAGTGTCACACACCATCACACAGTGTCACACACCGTCACACAGTGTCACACAGTGTCACACACCGTCACACACCGTCACACACTGTCACACACTTCACACAGTATCACACACCGTCACACACTTCACACAGTGTCACACACTTCACACAGTATCACACACCGTCACACACCGTCACACAGTGACACACAGTGACACACAGTGTCACACACTTCACACAGTGTCACACACCGTCACACAGTATCACACAGTATCACACAGTGTCACACACTTCACACAGTGTCACACACTTCACACAGTGTCACACAGTGTCACACAGTGTCACACCGTCACACACCGTCACACACTTCACACAGTGTCACACACTTCACACAGTGTCACACAGTGTCACAGTGTCACACACCGTCACACACTTCACACAGTGTCACACAGTGTCACACAGTGTCACACCGTCACACACCGTCACACACTTCACACAGTGTCACACACTTCACACACTTCACACAGTGTCACACAGTGTCATACAGTGTCACACCGTCACACACCGTCACACACTTCACACACCGTCACACACTTCACACAGTGTCACACAGTGTCACACACCGTCACACAGTGTCACACACCGTCACACACCGTCACACACTTCACACAGTGTCACACAGTGTCACACACCGTCACACACCGTCACACACTTCACACAGTGTCACACAGTGTCACACACCGTCACACAGTGTCACACACCGTCACACACCGTCACACAGTGTCACACACTTCACAGTGTCACACAGTGTCACACACCGTCACAAAGTGTCACACACCGTCACACAGTATCACACACCGTCACACACCGTCACACAGTGTCACACACCGTCACACACCGTCACACACTTCACACAGTGTCACACAGTGTCACACACTTCACACAGTGTCACACACCGTCACACAGTGTCACACAGTGTCACACTTAACACACCGTCACACAGTGTCACACAGTGTCACACACTTCACACAGTGTCACACACCGTCACACAGTGTCACACAGTGTCACACTTAACACACCGTCACACAGTGTCACACACCGTCACACACCGTCACACAGTGTCACACTGCCGCCTGGCGGTAGGAGTGGAGGTTATTTTTTATCAGAATACTTGTACTGGAGTAATCCTATGGGCTATGAAGCTCATGTTCACACATGTCGACTGGCACCAGACTCACGACCCCAGCTCCCTCGTGCAGATGAAACTCGGCTGTATCCATCTACGGTAATAATACAGGTGTCAAGATGTTCAAACAACAGACACCTATCATTGCAAGGCATCATCAAGTCTGGTGGTTATTGTGGTGGTGATGCTGATGGTAGTGGTGGTGATCAGTGACGATTATCTGAACCGGTCTTGGGCCTCCCCTAGGTCGACTCAGCCTCAAATGAGCACCTGGTACGGCGCGTAAAACATCGACACTAGGGAGACAAAGGCGGCTGGGCGTGATGCTGACCACCTTCCTCGTGTGACGTTCTGGCCTTCATAGGTGCTCGTGAACAGCTCTTGCCCCAACAGTCTGTTAAGGCTATGCAGGGGATATTTGTCTTTGGTGGTGATGATTGTGGTAGTGATGGTGGTACGGAATGTGGTGGCAAATGTAGTGGTGATGATTGTGGTGGTGATGATTGTGGTGGTGATGGTTGTGGTGATGATTGTGGCTGTGATATTGGTGGTGGTGATGATGATGCTGTAGGAGTGTAGGTGATGGTTGTGGCGATGATGATTGTGGTGGGTGATGGTGGTGGTGATGATGATGCTGTAGGAGTGTAGGCGATGGTGGTGATGACCGTGCGTGCCCATGTGTCCCATTGCCCCCCGTGTCCCCCCCAACCCCCCACAGCCATCCTCTGCCCCTGTCCCCTGGGTCGGGTGTCCCCCCCAGGGGCTCCGCCCCTGGCCGTGGGGGGGTTCGGGCTGGCCCCGTCCCTCGTCCCGCACCCTCCCGGAGACTCCGCCTGCAGCAGCTTCGCCTACACAGCAGGTGCTGAGATACACGGGGAGGCACTTGCGGATGGGGGAGACACGGGGAGACACGTGTGGAGACGGAGAGACACGATGGGCAGTTACGAGAGGAAGACACGGGGAGGCACTGTGGAGAGGGAGAGACATGGGGGAGGCACTTGCGGGGACATGGGGGAGACACGGGGAGACACGTGTGGAGACGGAGAGACACGATGGGCAGTTACGAGAGGAAGACACGGGGAGGCACTGTGGAGAGGGAAGACATGGGGGAGACACGAGAGTGAGACATGGGGGAGTCACGGGGAGACATGTACGGAGAGGGAGAGACATGGGGGAGACACGAGAGTGAGACATGGGGACCAGGGTCGTATTATCCAATAGGCCACAGTAGGCACTGTGCCTAGGGCCTACGAAAAAAATGTGACCATGTTTTTTGGTTTGTATGATAAATAATGTAACCAAGATATCTTCTCGAATACAGTAAAACCTTGGATGACAAACACGGAAATTACAAACACGGAAACGTGTTTGTAATCCAAAGCACTCGTGTACCAAAGCGAATTTCCTCAAAAAATAATGGCAACTCAGATGATTCGTTCCACAACCCAAAAACATTCATATAAAAATGATTAATACAAAATACCTTTTTATATTTGTATTATTTAAATTGAATATAAAGTAATCAAATTGGTTAATTAAATGTAATCGTGGCACAACACTATAGTACAATAGTAAACAGTATACACATGGTCACAACACCATAGTACTGTACTAAACAGTATACACGTGGTCACAACACCATAGTACTGTAATAAACAGTATACACGTGGTCACAACACTATAGTACTATAGTAAACAGTATACACGTGGTCACAACACTATAGTACTGTAGTAAACAGTATACACGTGGTCACAACACTATAGTACTATAGTAAACAGTATACACGTGGTCACAACACTATAGTACTATAGTAAACAGTATACACGTGGTCACACTACAGTGCTATAGTAAACAGTATACACGTGGTCACAGCACTATAGTACTATAATAAACAGTATACACGTGGTCACAACACCATAGTACTGTAGTAAACAGTATACACGTGGTCACAACACTATAGTACTGTAGTAAACAGTATACACGTGGTCACAACACTATAGTACTGTAGTAAACAGTATACACGTGGTCACAACACTATAGTACTATAGTAAACAGTATACACGTGGTCACAATACTATAGTACTGTAGTAAACAGTATATACGTGGTCACAACACTATAGTACTATAGTAAACAGTATACACGTGGTCACAACACTATAGTACTGTAGTAAACAGTATACACGTGGTCACAACACTATAGTACTATAATAAACAGTATACACGTGGTCACAACACTATAGTACTGTAGTAAACAGTATACACGTGGTCACAACACTGTAGTACTATAGTAAACAGTATACACGTGGTCACAACACTGTAGTACTATAGTAAACAATATACGCTCGCACGGATGTTGACTATACGAGTGAGGCACGCCGACTGAGACCGAGCATGGGAGATGATTACCCACAATCCCGCAGCGAGAGAGAGAGAGAGAGAAGAAGCATTGGCTCAGTTGTGATCACGTGACGCTCGGCAGACAAAGCGTACACGTACTGCTCGTATTGCAAGACATCGCTCGTTTATCAAATTAATATTTATAAAAAAAAATTGCTCGTCTTGCAAAACAGTCGCAGACCAAGTTACTCGCAATCCAAGGTTTTTCTGTAAATATGAATATAGCAAAGATAGGTAACAGTGGATATAAAAAGAGTAGGCAGTCATGTCAATCGTTTTTTTTACACAAGGTGAGAGAGAAATTAACAACGAGAGATTAACTTTTTTGAGATATTTTTTTATTGCAAAATTAGCAAATAAACATCTTCAAACGGTGTTTCTCGCACAATCTCATTCATTTTGCCACTTAATTTCTTGGCTGCCCGTTACAAATTTCTTTGAAGCAGTAACGAAGTCATTGACTCGTAAGCGAGGCGTTATTACACCCTCAACATAACAGTCGAAACGTCTTTAAGCTTCAACGAATGTAAAGCAATGCCACCGTCGCCCTGTCAACATTGAGTTTTGTTATCGATCAAAATGAACGGCGTCCTTTTAAAGCTGCGTCACCCGATATGAATATGTATTTGAAAAAATGTTACTATGATATAATCAACTTATTAGTACTATGATTATAATCATAGTAACATAAATAGTTGAATACATGTTTGCTTGTAATATTGTTTGGCTGATCTTGTTTTTTTCTCTCAGTAATTAAAAATGAAATCTGCTTATCCGCGGCACACAGCGTGCTCCCCATCGAGTGAGGGCACCGACTTAAATAAAGACGTCTTGACAGGAACGACGTCTTGACAGGAACGACGTCTTGGCAGGAACGACGTCTTGGCAGGAACGACGTCTTGGCAGGAACGACGTCTTTACAGTAACGACGTCTTTACAGTAACGACGTCTTGACAGGAACGACGTCTTGACATGAACGACGTCTTGACAGGAACGACGTCTTGACAGGAACGACGTCTTTACAGTAACGACGTCTTGACAGGAACGACGTCTTGACAGGAACGACGTCTTGACAGGAACGACGTCTTGACAGGAACGACGTCTTGGCAGGAACGACGTCTTGACAGGAACGACGTCTTGACAGGAACGACGTCTTGGCAGGAACGACGTCTTGACAGGAACGACGTCTTGGCAGGAACGACGTCTTGACAGGAACGACGTCTTGACAGGAACTACGTCTTTACAGTAACGACGTCTTGACAGGAACGACGTCTTGACAGGAACGACGTCTTGACAGGAACGACGTCTATCCAGCGGCTGGACGAAGTCCCGCGAGAGAAACCAGCGGAGTGACAGCGGTAGTAGTGACATGGGGGGGCAGCAGCAGCAGCAGTACTAAATGTGTATCACTGAAGGCCTACGCAAACGAAGTGCCTAGTGCCTTCAAGAACCTTGATCCGGCCCTGGGGGAGACACGAGGAGAGGGAGAGACGCAGATAGACTGAGACACGGGGAGGGAGAGACACGGGAATGGGGAGACACGGGGAGGGAGAGACACGGGAATGGGGAGACACGGGGAGGGAGAGACACGGGGAGAGAGAGACACGGGGAGAGAGAGACACGGGGAGGGAGAGACACGGGGAGGGAGAGACACGGGGAGAGAGAGACACGGGGAGGGAGAGACACGGGGAGGGAGAGACACGGGGAGGGAGAGACACGGGGAGGGAGAGACACGGGAATGGGGAGACACGGGGAGGGAGAGACACGGGTGGTGGTGGTGGTGATGGTGACTCTCTGTCCCCTCTCTCTGCAGCTATGAGCCCCATGGCCTCAGACTCTCTCCAGCAGGCCTACAGTGGGGTGCAACACTACACCGGTAACTCACCACTCACTACTGACAACTCTCACCACTCACTCACCATTTACTCACTACCCACCACGCACTACTCACCCCTCACCATTCTACAGCAGGCCTACAGTAAGATGCAGCACTACACTGTAAACTCCACCACTCACCACTCTACAGCAGGCCTACAGTGGGGTGCAGGGCTACACCGGTAACTCACCACTGACTACTCACCATTTACTACTCGCAACGCTCACCTCACTCGCCACTCATCACTGTCACACGATAGCGGCGCGCGCGCTGAAGCGTCACGCTGCCGCCTGACGGTAGGCGGCGCTCTGACGTAGAGTGAGTAGCCACGTGATGATTTTGGTAGCGTTGATGAGTGTGGTGGTGATGATGAGTGTGGTGATGGTGATGATGAGTGTGGTGGTGATAATGGTGGTTGGTGTTGGTGATGATGAGTGTGGTGGTGGTGGTGATGATGAGTGTGGTGGTGATAATGGTGGTGGTGATGATGAGTGTGGTGATCAGTGTGGTGGTGGTGGTGGTGATGATAAGTGTCGTGGTGATAATGAGTGGTGCCGGACGGTAACGCTGTGGTGAGCAGTGCCATGGGGGGGGGGCAATTTCGATTATCCATGCCCCTCATCATGGGGTTTGTAGCAACAACAGGGGCCAAAGGGGCGCTGGATGGGTGCGATGGGCTGATAACCACTCCAGCTACAATTAATTACCACAAAACCATGAAGAAACTATCCAAATAAGCTTGTGCCGAGAGCCCTGGGGTGGACAGGCATCTATGAAGTTTCCTAGCCAAACCCCATTTGGTGGAGCCAGGAGATTGAATCCTTACCCTCGGGGTTCCTCCAGAAACAACAAAAAGCCACTGCGGGTGGCCACGTGGAATGTTCCAACGCTGCCTGTGGAGGAGAGAGGCTGCCACTTGTCTGTCGGGAGCTGGACCGGTACCGCCTGGATTTGTGTGGTATTCAGGAGATACGGTGGACCGGCTCTGGCTCCTGCCACCATGAGGGGTGGACAGTCCTCTACTCGGGGCAGGAGACTGCCAAACAACAGGGTGTGGCTCTTCTTCTGAACAAAAGAGTGAAGGGGGCGTGGGAACATGGCGGTTAGGTGTGGGAAGCTGTAAGCCCCAGGCTACTTTGGGCTCGCCTTCCCATCAACCAGAGGCGAGGAGTGGTGGTCGTGATTACTTATGCCCCCACCGAAGATGAACATCAGTGGAGGGATGCAGGCAAGGCTGATGAGTCAGATGCCTTCTATGACCTTCTGTCTCAAGTGCTAGCAAAAGTGGCCCCTCGGGATAGAGTCATCCTGTTGGGTGACTTTAATGTCCGAGTTGGTCATGATGCTGGCACCTGGTTTGGAGTGATTGGAGGGCATGGGCCAGATCAGCTCAATAACAACGGCAGGAGGCCGCTAGACTTTTGTGCAGCCCATGGGCTTGTAATTATCAACACGCTGTTCCGGCATTGGTGTATCCACACAACATCATGGATGCATGCCGGGTCCAAGCAAGAACATCTGCTGGACTACATAGTGACGGACCAGCGGATGCGAGCCCATGTCCTTGACACCAGGACCTACCGTGGAGCTGATCTGGCCACTGACCATCGACTTGTCATCGGTAAGATGCGCCTGCCATTCTTCCATTCCGGTGGTGAGTGTATACCCAGGACCCCATTCAAACCTATAGTGGGCTGGTCTCAGCTAGCCGATGAAAGTTGCAAGTGAGAATTTCATCATCGCTTGTAGCTGGGGTTGGCATTCCCCCCACTCCTCCTGATATCGAGGGGAAATAGGTGAGGTTTAAGACTGTGGCTCATGCAGCTGCAATGGTTGCTTTGGGTACATGGTCCAGACCTCCCCAGAGACCCTGGCTAACAGAGGAGGTGTTCAGGCTGGCTGAGAAAAAGGGACAGGCCCACTCTCATCGTCAACAGCATCCCACATCAGAAAATGAGGAGGCTTCACGCAGCCTTCACTCATTCCAACAATAACTACATCTCTGCTTGATTGACTTGGTCAAAGCCTATGATGCCATCAGTAGGCCTGGGCTCTGGGTTGTTCTTCGTGCTTTCAGGGTCCCTGACTCTCTGCTCTCAATCATTGAGGACCTTCATGATGGTGGCCAGGAGTCGGAGCCATTCCCTGTTCACCTTGGGGTGGGACAGAGATGTCCTCTGTCTCCCACATTATTTAACATCTATTTTGACCACATTGTTGGTGAAGCCTTCGATGGCTGTATCGGAGGAATCTCCATCTGGCATAGATACCATGGAAGGCTGATTGATGCCCGTTATGTATGCTGATGATCTGGTAATTGCTGCTCACTCAGAGGAGGAGTTGGAGGCATTGCTGCTGAACCTGGAGCATGCAACTAATTGGTGGGGCCTTACAATCAGCCCCACCAAAACTAAGCACCTGCCTTAGTGTTTTGTACCATCAGACACTCCACCCCCACAACTCCCAATTTCTGATGGGGCAGTTGTGGAGAGAGTGGAGAGTTTCCATACTTGGGCAGTGTGCTCATGACCGGCTCTGGCTTGACAGCAGAGGTCTCACTCCAAATCAGTCGAGCGGCATTATCTTTTCATCGTTTGCATAACGCTGTGTGGAAGCTACCTGGTCTGTCGCTCCGCACTAAGCTTCAGGTCTTCTCGGCCACAGTCATGTCCTCCCTTCTCTACTCTTGCGAAACGTGGACCCCCCTAATGGAACATCTTCACCGGTTAGAAACATTTAGGCTGGCCTGCCTACGATCTATTCTCGGTTTAACCAGGCTGGCTTGTGTGAGGAGCTCACAAATCCTTGAAAGATCTGGATAAAATCTCATCGGTGAGCTCCTCCGGCAGGCAAGGCTATGTTGGCTGGGTCATGTAGCCTGTATGCCCAGGCACCGCAAGCCTAAACAGCTTTTGTTCGGCCTGATAGAGGGGGCAAAACGGGCATGGCACTGGCTAGAGAAGAGATAGAATGATGCGGTGCAAAAGGATGTGGAACTGAGTGGACTTGCCGATGACTGGTACCAGCGGTGTCAAGATCGTCCTCTATGGAGGAGGCTCGTCAAGGATGCTACTTGGCAGTTGGAGGCAGTCGCCCTCCAACAACAACGGAGGGCAGAGGAACAACACTCACAATGAGTGGGGCACCGGGCGGCTAAAACAGAGCAAGTTGGCACAATAGGGGGTACAGGTGGTGCATTGACCAGTCATCTTAAGTCAGTCGACCCATGGCACCTGGGTCTGCCCTGTGACCTGCCAGCGGGTATTAGACACTTCACGTGGCCTCAAGGTGCACCTAGCCTGGCACAAGCGCCGTGGTGACGTCACCACCACTTCGTGGCGTTTGTTGTTGGTGGTGATGATGGGTGTGGTGATCATTGTGGTGGTAGTGGTGGTGATGATCATGGTGATCCGAGTTCGATTCCCACTCATGACCACCACCAACACCGGTGACGATTATAATAGTCGACAATTTTTTAGACGTCGTCTGCTTCATAGGTGAAATGTGCTGTTTTTTATTATCTGCACTGGTACTGGATCTCCACCTAGGTCGACTCTGCCTCACACGAGCACCTCGTGTGGTGTGCAGTAAAGCATCAGCATGGTGGAGACAAAGGTGGCTGGACGTGGTGCTAGACCTTCGTAGGTGCTTCTACTCTCTAACAACACTTGGCCACCAACAGTATGATGAAGGCTATACGGGTGACATTTACCTTTGTGTGTGTGCACGTGTGTGTAGCCACGTACCCGGCCGCGTTCCAGGCTTTCACTCAGACGACAGCTGCGCTGCAGCAGCAACAGCAGCAACAGCGAGAAGGTGAGAGGGTGAGAGGGTGAGAGGGTGAGAGGGTGAGAGGGGACATGACTCGTGCCCTTATGTATTTTGAACTTCTTTCGCACCGTACGTAGCCTCCCGCGTTCATCGGAGGACAACAAACTAAGCACTAAAAGCAGTTCCAAAGAAATGAGTTTGTCACTCTGTAGAATTTAAAAGTGACATAACTCGAGTGGCTTCCTACGACCGAAAGGAAGAGCGTAGCAGATGGTCACAGAAACGAATCTTAAAGCGTCGTGCGATGCGCTGACCACCGTCTTTGTTCGATGGCCAGCCAAAAGTCACTGCTGCTGCTGCTAGCTAGAATGACCGGAGTTTGCGTGGTGGTGGTGGTTTCCTCTGATGAGCGCCAACAGCGAGCGAAACCGGCCCCTTCCAGCCGATCATGATAAAGTCCCTGTCTCGGAGGGTTCTACCGGTAGTTATGTTGATCTGGTGGTCTGAACAAGGCTGAGGGAGAGCTTTTGGTAAAACGTGCATTCCTCCACGTACGCACACACGTGCATACACGCATACAAATACAAAGGTCCCCCGTGTAGCCATAACAGACTGTTGGGGAAAGTTCCGTGAGCGAGTCGCACCTATGAAGGCCGGCATGGTACTGGAGGGGGTAGGGTGAGCAGCACCACCACGCCCGGCCGCTTTTGTCTCCCCAAAATGGCGATGTTGACTACTACACACTGCACCAGGTGTGTAGTCGACAGAGGGGAGGCCCAGGACCGGTTTAGATATTGGTGTTGGCCGTGAGTGGGAATTGAACTCGGGTTGCCGTTTTTGGCTGCGCCACCGCTCCGCCCAGCACACACTTCATCTAACCTCACACCTCTTCTCTGTCCTTCACACCTCCCTCCTGCCCTCTCTCCCCTCACTCTCCCTCCCACCCCCTATCTCCCTCCCTCACTTTTTCCTCCCTCTCTCTCCCCCCTTTCTCTCCCCCCACTCTCCCCACTCTCTCCCCCTCCTTTCCCCCCTTTCCTCTCCCCATCCCCTCTCTCGCCGCCTCTCTTTCCCCCATCCCCTCCCCCCCATCACACCACTCTCTCCCCCCCCCACTCCTCTCCCCCTCTGTCTCCCCCCACCCCGTCCCTCTCTCTCCCCCACCCCCTCCCTTCCTCTCTTCCCCCTCCGCTCTCCCTCTCCCCCTCTTTCCCCTTCCCCACTCCTCTCTACCCCCTCTCCTCTCTACCTCTCCGCCCCTCTCCCCCGCCAGGCCCCGAGGGATGTAACCTCTTCATCTACCACCTCCCACAAGAGCTGGGCGACATGGAGCTCATGAAGACGTTCTCCCCCTTCGGCAGCGTCATCTCCTCCAAGGTCTTCCTCGACCGTGCCACCAATCAGAGCAAGTGCTTCGGCAAGTCCACCAATCGACTCGCTCCCCTCACAGACCCCCCCCCCCCCCCCACCAATCAGAGCAAGTGCTTCGGTAACTCCACCAATCGCCTCGCTCCCCTCACAGACCCCCCCCTCACCCCCCACCAATCAGAGCAAGTGCTTCGGTAACTCCACCAATCGCCTCGCTCCCCTTACAGACCCCCCCTCACCCCCCACCGATCAGAGCAAGTGCTTCGGTAACTCCACCAATCGACTCGCTCCCCTCACAGACCCCCCCTCACCCCCCACCAATCAGAGCAGGTGCTTCGGTAACTCCACCAATCGACTCGCTCCCCTCACAGACCCCCCCTCACCCCCCACCGATCAGAGCAAGTGCTTCGGTAACTCCACCAATCGCCTCGCTCCCCTCACAGACCCCCCCTAACCCCCCACCAATCAGAGCAAGTGCTTCGGTAACTCCACCAATCGACTCGCTCCCCTCACAGACCCCCCTCACCCCCCACCAATCAGAGCAGGTGCTTTGGTAACTCCACCAATCGACTCGCTCCCCTCACAGACCCCCCCTCACCCCCCACCGATCAGAGCAAGTGCTTCGGTAACTCCACCAATCGCCTCGCTCCCCTCACAGACCCCCCCTCACCCCCCACCAATCAGAGCAAGTGCTTCGGCAAGTCCACCAATCGGCCCACTCCCCCTCACAGACCCCCCCCACCATCCCGACCGCCCCCACTTATCGGAGCAAATGCTTCGGCAAGTTCACCAAGACAACTCAAACTATAAATAATTTTTATTTTATTTTTACCAGGTAAGGCCCACATAACTACTTAGCTTTTTTTCTGAAGAGGCCTGGCCATCACAAATGATGGCTCAATGAAGTAGCTTATCGTCGTTTACATCATCGTCGTGTGGAGATTTATATCAGCAAAATGCTCAAAACGTGTGATCTCAATTGTAATGTCAAGGGGAAAACTGGATGAGAGAAAAATACACGTGACCACGGGGAGATGGACATGCAAACTCATGCAAATAAACTAAACTAAAACTATTTTTATTTAGCCAGGCAAGCTCCACTGAGCTGATACGTCGCTCGTTTTCTAAAGTGACCTGGCTATCACAAATGGTAGCGCAACGAGTGGCTTATCATCACATGGATATATATAGTAGCAGCAGCAGCAGCAGCAAAATACTCGCGTGATATAGGAATAGGTTTTACCCTTTTAACTGGCACAAAAACTGACACCTTTATTCAAGGCATCATGTTTGCAATAACCACAACACAAGCAGTCAAAATGCAAACAAAAAAGACAACTCTGATAATAATGCACTGTCCTTGAATTTGATTGGTCCACACCCGAGACAGCTTTTCTTAGAGCCTAGTCTCCATTGGTGTTGGACCAGAAGACGCCAAAAGGCGTGCCTTGAATAAAGGTGTCAGTTTTTTGCCAGTCAAAAGGGTAAAACCTATTCCTATATCTTGTTTCTGGCAAAGGAGGTCTCATAATGTAAATACTCGCGTGATGTTCATTCTAAATGTGGAGGGGAAAACCGGAGGACCCGGAGAAAAATCCACGCGACCACAGCAGCAGGCGTCGTCAGGGTCGGGACCGAACCCACGACCTCCTGCATCTCACAGACCCCCCCCCCCCCCCTTCCCACCCCTCCCCCTGCACACCCCCGTGAACAATAAGTTAATACCTCAGTGGGATTTACCTGGTCAGATAAAAACAATATTAGTTTTACTTGTATATTTTTTAAGTGATATTTTTTAATCTTTCCTAACACTTTACACTCCTATCCTGTTTTTTTGTATTGTATTGTTGTTGTGACGTTGTGACCCGTGCCCCTACTGGATATCTGTGAAAAAGAGCTTCATAGCTCATCGGATTCCTCCGGTATGAATAAATATTCTGATTCAGATAGTTTCTGCTACTCGCTCAACAGCACTTGCCCCCACAGCCTATTAACGGTTACACGGGGGACCTTTGTCTTTTATGGGTGTAGGGTTCGTGAGTTTCGACAACTCTGGGAGTGCTCAGGCGGCCATCCAGGCCATGAATGGCTTCCAGATCGGCATGAAGAGGCTGAAGGTGCAGCTGAAGAGGTCCAGAGACTCAAACCGCCCTTACTAATAGTGGGGGGCTCTCGCCCCCCCACCCAACTCAGCCACACACACAGAGGTAACAACACACAGCGTACACACACACTCCACACACACTGTACACACACACACTGTACACACACAGCGTACACACACAGCGTATACACACAGCCTATACACACAGCGTACACACACGCACACAGAGGTAACAACACACAGCATACACACATATACAAAATATAAAGACAAAGATCCCCCGTATAGCCTTAATAGACTGTAGGGGTGGGTAGCCAGAACCACGCCCGACCGCCTTTGTCTCCCCAGTGGCGATGTTTACTACACGCCGCACCAGGTACTCATTTTTTGGCTGAGACAACCTAGGGGAGGCCGGTGACCGGTGTCAGATAATCGTCACTGGGTGTTGGCTGTGAGTGGGAATCGAACCCGGGTCGCCCGGTTTATAGCGCAGCACGCTAACCGCTACACTGGCGCTCCCCACACAACAACCGCCATTCGCTACCAAGTTACGGTGACGTCACCAAGGCGCTTGTGCCAGGCTCGGTGCACTCCGAGGCTATGTGAAGCATCGAAGGCTCTCTGCTGACGGGAGGTCACCGGACAGTCCCAGGTGCCATGGGTTGACTGACTGAAATGACTGGCCGATGCACCAGCTGTGGTGTTGGGGAGCGGTAATGCGGCAGTTAGCATGCAGTGCTACGAACCCGGCGACCTGAGTTCGGCCAACACCAGTGACGATTCTCTGATCTGGTCCTGGGCCTCCCCTAGGTTGACTTAGTCTCAAATGACTACCTGGTGCGGTGTGTAAACATTGCCACTGGGGAGACAAAGGCGGCCGGGCGTGGTGCTGGCTACCCACCCCCTCGTGTGCTGTGCCGCACTTCATAGGTGCTTGCTAACAGCACTTGCCCCAACAGTCTGTTAAGGCTATACGGGGGATCTCTGTCTTTGTTATTGGTATTAGTGGGCCTGTGGTGTTGGAATGAGCGGTTGTAGTGGTGATATTGGCTCTATTGTAATGTTTACGTGTGTGCGTGCGTCCGTATGTTTTTTTGACAGGAAGACGAAATGAGTGTGCATCAACACTCACTCTCAGTACGCATCACTCTCACTCACGTAAAAATCACACTCACACACACCATAATACTCTCACACACCATCACATTCTGGCACACACAAAGACAAAGATACCTCGTATAGCCTTTAACAGACTGTAGGGGCAAGTGCTGCTAGTGAGCACCTTTGAAGGCCGGCACAGCACACGAGGGGGTGGGTGACCAACACCACGCCCGACCGCCTTTGTCTCCCCAGTGGCGACATTTACACACCCGCACTAGGTATTTATTTGAGGCTGAGTCGACCTACGGGAGGCCCAGGACCAGTTCACATAATCGTCACTGGTGTTGCCCGTGAGCGGGAATCGAACCCAGGTCGCCAGGTTCGTATCACAGTGCACTAACCGCTACACGATCGCTCCCCATAACAACACACACCATCACACTCTCCCTCACACAATAACACTCTTACACACGCACACTACACAGTGACCCATACCGACACATAGAGACCTATAGAGGCACATAGAGACGCATAGAGACACATAGAGACCAATAGAGACCCATAGAGACACATAGAGACCCATAGAGACCCATAGAGACCCATAGAGACCCATAGAAATACATAGAGACACATAGAGACCCATAGAGACACATAGAGACCCATAGAGATACATAGAGACCCATAGAGACCCATAGAAATACATAGAGACACATAGAGACACATAGAGACCCATAGCGATACATAGAAACACATAGAGACTCACAGAGACACATAGAGACCCATAGAGACACATATATACATAGAGATACAAAGAGATACATAGAGACCCATAGAGACACATAGAGATACATAGAGATACATAGATATACATAGAGACACCTAGAGACACATAGAGATACATAGAGACACATAGAGACGCATAGAGACGCATAGAGACACATAGAGACAGAGATACATAGAGACCCATAGAGACACATAGAGACCCATCGAGACACATAGAGACACATAGCGATACATAGAGACACATAGAGACACATAGAGATACATAGAGACACATAAAGACACACAGAGACACATCGAGACACAGAGACATAGAGACACATGTAGTGATGCAGATCGGAGACAGTAATATTAGGAGGCACCTCTTTATTCTTTACTCACAATGGGGACTATATACACTCTACATGGGTGTACACTATTATATATATATATATCTCTACACATACAACCATCTATTGTCGGCGGCACTATCTAACTAAACAGTTGGCAGACTGTCTAGCTAGCGGCACCCAGTGATGGTGAAGACAGCGGCGACAGTGGTGACGAACGGCAGCTCGGCGAGGGGATCCACTTCCAGGGCCTCCTCTTATGCTCCCAGCGTGGCCTCGCTTCGCCCACGCCACGCCCCCCCCCCCCCCCCCGCTTCTGGAACCTACTAGCAGGTTCCTGGGACTTCCAGATGCCCCCCTCCATGAACTTTGCCTAGATGTTTTATCCCCCGTATATGCTGTCGTCTCTGGGCGTGTGCACTGCCGTGTCTTGTAGTTACACTTCGTAGACAGCAGCCAGCGCTATTGCACTACACATATATACACAAAGATATACAGAGACTCGTGGAGATACATAGAAACACAGATACATAGAGACACGTAGCGACCCACACAATGGGCAATGTTAGTCTATGGACCGTATGGTAAAGCCATTGTGGTCTTCGCCCTTCATCGAAGGAGGTGGAGGAGGAAAAGCGACACGACACGAACCCTCTCTGTCTGCTGCATTCCTCTTCTCGGCGTGGATAGCAGCAGCAGCACGACCTCCACACTGGGACATCGATCTCCTGCAAAACAACATTGATGCTCAAATCAGGAGCAATATATAAATTAGCTCTATTGGTTCAATGCAAGCTAACCTGTGGACCGGTTTCGACATTCAGTGTGTCATCAGCAGCAACAGAGTCAGGCTTTCCTTGAACCAATGCTGTTGAACTGTCCAGATGTTTATAGCCAAGGACCGGTTTTGACATTCAGTGTCTCATCATAAGCAGCAGCACACTTGGAACATCAATCTCCTACACAACAACGACATTGCTGAAGCCACCAACTCGTGCAACAAGAGTGGTCGGACCGATGAGAAGGGCCGGCGTAACTATGGGAAGCTGACGGGGGAGAGGGCCTGGCATCGTCGCATCCATACATCGCGATCATGTCGCCGCTCCGATCTGGCAATTTATTTTATCTTTGAACTCAACCGGGCTGAGAGACATAATCAACAACAACAATTTCAGAATGTGCAATGTGCTGGGGGAGAAATCCGATGAGCTATGAAGCTCTTTTTCAAAGATGGTCCAGTAGGAGGCACGGGGTCAGACCGTCACAACAAACTATAAAACGTGATAGGAGTGCACATGACAGGAAAGGCAAACAAATCACCCAAAAGCATACAAGTTCAACTAAACCATCCCCCCCTACCAGGCTAAAGCACCCGCTGAGCTATGAAGTTATTATTTTCATAAGCAACCTGGCCATTATGTCGATTCTAAATGTGGGAGGAGTAAACTGGAGGACCTGGAGGAAAATCCACGCTACCAAGAGGAGAAAGATAGACACGCAATTCCAAATATACTAATACTAAAACTGCTTTTTCAGGTAAGGCCCCACTGAGCGATAAGCTCATTTTCAGAAGCAGACCTGGCCGTCACAAATTATAGCAAAAAAGTGGGCTTATCATCACGTGGGAATTTATAGCAGCAAAATCTAACCTCAACGCATGTTTCTACAAAAATAAATAGCCGGCGCCACGTGACTAACGTGGCTGTGTCTGTTGGGTGGTGGAGGTCCTCGCGACATTTTGGGCGCCCCAAACAAAACTAAGAAAAACTAACCATCGGTGATGAATCGCAGGACCACCAAGTCCATCGGCTCGCTTGCACGGGCTGCCCCGGGGGCACACGCGGCTACATTCGGCCCTGGGGGCACCCAGCCCTGGGGTTTTGCCCCTCAGGGCACTCGGCACTGGACTTTGGTTCCCAGGCTTTGTGAATCCTGGGGGCTCGGGGGGGGGGGGGCGCTCTGATTTAACCGGGGAGGGTGGGGGCAGGGGGGGGGGTGGCTGGGTTGGTGGGGCAGAGGGGTAACTCAGGCGAGGTGGTCACTGTGTCTGGTGGTCAGATTCAGAATCGGAGTATTTATTTACACCGGAGGAATCCGATGAGCTATTAAGCTCTTTTTCACAGATGTCCAGCTGTGACGTGACGCGGCGCTCGTGTCCGTCGGGCTGACCACGCGAGGGCTGCTCAGTCCCCCATCTTCCCTCCTCCCCCGGATGCCCCCCACCCCCCTCGGTGCCCACCCCCCCTCTTTACTCCACGTGGGGGGGGGGGGGGGGGCTGTGATCTCGCAGGTCCTGGGGTCGGTTTCCCGCACCGTGGTTGGCACCACAGTTGGTGACAACCCGGGGAGAGGGGAGGAAGTGGTGGGGAGGAGGGAGGGGAGAAGGGGATTCAATAGGACTCGTGACTACAATCCACACAAAAGCAAAGATCCCCCGGGTAGCCTCTGAATAAGCTGTTGGGACAAGTGCTGTTAATGGGGCAGTAGGAGCAGCACCTATGAAGGGCGGTACTTAAATTTCGATTTAAAGCTTTCCTGACTGCAAGGATTCATTTTCTTTGGTTCTTTCGGTAAAGTCACGTAGAATGAGAATAAAATAAAATAAAACAATACAATTTTCACGACGTTTCGGCCACAACACAAGTAGCCTTCTTCAGGTGAAAAGAACAACCTATCGGGACGACAGCCACAATGAACGCTGCTAAGATTCGCAGCGTCTTTTAAGCTCGTAGCAGTCCGTGGTGCTGATGTGGAGGGTACGAATCCACCCACTTTTTTCGCCATATAGCATCGTGATATATAACGACTTATTGTTGGTAGCTCAGCTGATTTGAGAATATATAGAGTTTATTGATAACATTGAGGTAGTTTATATTTTAGTGTTTTATCTGTTTACTATATGGTATTCATTATATAGTGTAGTGTATACCCAGTTGCTGTTAATAACTCTGCTTATTGAAGAATATATTGAGTACATTTATTATATTGATGTAATTTAGACTTAGGTTTTTTTCACACATCTGTTTACTGTATGATAGTTGAGTTGTTGCAGCCCCTTTGGCGTCCATGCACTTGGTGCCTCTGTGGATGTGTAGGCTTTGACTTTAACATAGCTACTTCTGTGACCAGTCACAAGCTAATCCCTCAACTGTTTCAATGCTAAATTCTCCTGTTTGATATGTAAACCCCTTTGTCAAGGTGCCTCACTTCTCTCAACCAGCTTAAAAGACGCTGCGAATCTTAGCAGCGTTCATTGTGGCTCTGTTGTCCCGATAGGTTGTTCCTTTCACCTGAAGAAGGCCACTTGTGTTGTGGCCGAAACGTCGTGAGAATTTTCTTGTTTTATTTTATTATTTTATTCTCATTCTACGTGACTTTACCGAAAGAACCAAGTCAAAAGGGCGGTACTGGCACAGCTACGAGGAGGGGGTCGGTGTGGCTCCAACACAACTACTGCTCGGCCGTCTTTGTCTCCCCAGTGCTGATGTTGATTGCACACCGCACCATCGTACATTTGTTTTATACTGAGTTGACCTAGGGGAAGGGAGGGAGGCTGTGAGTGGGATTCGAACTCGGGGTCACCAGGGTTGTGGTGTGGCCCAGCAATAACTTCCTGGCCGCCTTTATCTCCCCAGTGCTGATGGCGTTTTTGTTTTATACAGCACCGGGTACTTTTAAGGCTGGGTCGACCTAAGGGTGGGAGGCCCCATAACCACAATCACAAAGCACATTGGCCAGTTGGTGCCACTGAGTGAGAGCGAGAGAGAACGCGCGATGTCTACCCCGCGTTATATTTATTGAGAAGCTCATTTATGGGTTATCAAGGGGGAGGTGTGAATAAGAAGGACCAAAATGTAACTTTTGCAATGTTGCGATTTTCATGACTGACGAGGATGCTGATGATTTGAGAAATACAGTTATTCAGGTGCTGATGTTGCGGTGATGATGACAGTGATGGTGATAGTGGTGGTATGGTGATAGCGGTGGTGATGATGGTGAGAGCGCTGGTGATGATAGCGGTGGTGATGATAGCGGTGGTGATGATGGTGAGAGTGGTGGTTGATGATAGCAGTGGTGATGGTGAGAGTGGTGGTGATGATGAAAGTGATGGTGATGGCGTGGAGATGACGTGATGATGACATGGCGGTGATATGGTGGTGATGACATACGGTGGTGATAACGTGGATGACATGATAATGCCGTATTTTGGTGGTGACGACGTGATATGGTAGTGATGATGACGTGCTATGTTCGTGATGTTTTTGGTAGCGATGACGTAGGGATGATGATGACAAACG